GTGGCCCGTGGATTCGAAGAGGATGCTAACAATCTTAGAAAAGATTCTCCCACTTGCAATAGACAGCGTCTATGCTTGGTATTTTTGACAGCAGACTTGATGTCCTGGTGGTTGCAATCTATAAGGGGATCCTTTGGAAAGAGAGGTATTTTTATGTCCACCTTGTGATGCCTGTTCAAAAAATGATGTCTGGCATCTTAAAAGATGCATCTACGGATTGAATGATGCACCCAGATCTTGGTACAAAAGAGTTAAAGAAGTACCCTTACAGCCAATGAGTGGGTGGGAGTATACAGTTAGTTCATACGACAATGAAGTGGATCTCTTGTAGGAATTTTGGTTAATTTTGTGGATGATTTTGCCTTCTGTAGTAATGATTTTTTTCAGGAACAGATCATAGAAAAACTAAAGAGAATATTTAAGGTCAGCACACATGAAAATGGATCATTTAAATATCTAGGATGGGAAGTTGTGCAAACTACAAGAGGAGTGCAAATAAAACAAGAATCGTATATTTCCACAATAACACCAATTAGCATAGCTTAGGGTCGCACCACAAGGAAGACAGATGAATTGACTGCAGAAGATTAAACTGATTTAAAACCTTTAACACACAGCAGGCGAGACAATAGTCGCCGTAGAATTCTCTCCCTTGCTACTCTAGGCACATTCTGTTGCCTTGAGATGGTTGCTATAAATAAACACTTATCAACTCTTATTTCTGATATTCTAAACTGTAAATTGCCTACTACTGTTTTGGAAGAAGGCTAAACTTCCATTTTCCAGTGCCATTTTGAATTCTTCTAGACTCTACACGAGGTGTAACATCGACTAAACCCACATTAATTTTTTTTTATCTTTTTGTAAACAAAAATGGCTGCTTTAATGTCCAACAAAGCCCTTATTCAGGAGTTTTTCTTTGAAAAAGAGTCCGATGATGATTTTGAAGGCTTTATTGAGTAGATATTGACGGTAAAGTGGCCAGAGATGATAACCATGTTAGTGATGTGGAGAAAAGCGATGATGACAACTAGCAGCTACTATCATCCATCCCTGACTAATTCTATAGAAGCTACCAGTATATCTGATAGCCTTTCTGAAGGTGAATTATTTCATTTATTTATAAATGACGAAATAATAACTTTATTCATCAACGAGACAAATCAATATGATTCAGTGAAAAAAAAAAGCAAACAAATGATAGTTTTTTGCATATGTAAACACGAGGAAACAGTCACATTTTGACAAAATGAAAGCCTTTTTAACGATTTTGCTTCATATTGCAGCCCCAGAACTCCACAAGGAGTAATAAAAGTTAAAGTATGTTGAATTATGCATTTTTTAACGATTTTGTTTTTTTATTTCACATTTTTATTTCGTGTTTTAATTTTTTTCATTTTCAACATCAAAACACAATGCATTGCATAATAATGTTACTCATTCCTTCTTTTATTAGTGTACAAAAATTAAAATCTCTATGCACAATACAAAGAAAGTTATAACAATTTTAAAACAGTAGGTGTTCATGTTTTTTCACCTAAAAAAACATGCAGTGACTGGGGAAACAATTCTAGAAAGAAATTAGCATGGTAAAAATGAAAACACTTAAGTGGACAAATGATGTGGGTTACTTCACAAACAAGACCAAATATAAGCTATGAAATGTATGTTATGAGAAATACAGGAAAGCAACCAACCATGAAAATACTACAAGTGGCAAACAAAGCACTGTCTAAATTGAAAGCTAAGAAAATTGCACTAAAATTTTCTAATTTGGATGATTCTCAAAAAATGAAAGTCTTAGCATATTCAGATGCTACATGCGATGAGTCTTCCTTAGGGTGGTATTTTTGTTTTTATTCAAGGTGAGTACAAGAAAGTAGCACCAGTTAGCTGGCAATTTAAAAAGTTGGACAGAGTAACGAAGAGTCAATTAGCATCTTGAAACTTTGGCATTAAGTGAGACAACAGATGCAGGTTCTTTGTCTCAAGAAACTTTTGGTATGGCTGTATTGTCACCAGTACAATCCTATACAGACATTAGATCACTGACTAGTACCTTGGGAACTACAAACTTTATTAGCGACAGACGATTAAGAGTGGACATGGCAAGATCGAGAGAAATGGTGTCAGAGGGGGCGAAATAAATATATTTTAGGTGGATGGGAAATTACAATTGGCAGATTCCTTGCAAAAAGAGGTAATTTTACACTTAAATTGTTACAAGTACTTGGTACATCTCAACTTTGAGAAAGAAAAAAATGTGTATGAAATGAAGGGAATTTCAATGTAGATTATCTGTTATCTCCCTTCAACTATTTTTCTAAAAGGAACTCTTCAGTGAGGACACGGGTATAGGTTGTTTAATGTTTAATATAAGCAAGTTAACACTATTTTCTTTATTTTTAATGAAATTTTCTTGTTTCTTCATACTTTCCTTAGATTTTAGAAGACATCTTTTGCAGTATTTCAGCATCACATATTCCATCCTCTGTTAAAGTACTTTCTAGATATTTAAATTTTTGTACTTGGTGTCTCCAATTTGTAATTTATGTCGTGGGCTGATCTTTTTGCTGACAATCATACATTCTGTCTCTTCTTACAACTGATGTTCAGTCAATCACATATGGTAATGAAAAAAAAAATAGAACGTCTAATTTGATGTTATTATATTCAACATTTGCCACTTTTCTGGTGTTAAGATTTCAATATTTTGTTCATTCGATTATGTATCTCGAGCCATCTGTTTACTTGTTAGATGAATCGATCTTTGGCTCGGGATTGTATTTCAAGATCTCATTAAGATTGAATTCCCTCTCTTTCAGACTCTATCACGTTAACAAAATACGACCACTAATGCCCTTTGGCAGTCTCATTTGTTTCTTATTGCTGCTTGCACTCATATACCAGGCTCCATTTTATAACAGTTCATCTTTTCTTTTGGACATTGAATGATGTTTATCTGCGTCATCACAGACCCATACATATTTCACATATAAAACATTTCCAGGATGATTATATGTGAGCCAAATAAGATAAAAATCTGACCAAATTTAGGGCAGTATCAGTGGCTTTCAAATAAATTACTCTCATGCTGGCCAAGAATTTAAACTGCCTCCAGGCTAGAAATGTTATCAGAGCATCGGTTACTGCTTATATGCTTCTAAAACTGAATTATTAGGTTTCTTCTTTTAAAATATAAAGAAAGGATTAAATTCTTTTTTTGCTATTACGTTTCTGACAAAGGCTTTGTCAGAAAATGGAAAGGAAGGATCTCTACAGAATTTCCTCAATTATCTGAACACGTCAGGACCAGGGTTGAAAAAATATGTTTGGATTATTCAAAATTCTAGGCCCTGGGTATGATGATAAACTATAACCGGCAACAAGATAAATAACCCATAGAGGTTGGTATGCTGCGAAACAAAATCACCCAACGTGAAAGAACTTTTTGATGACAATAATCCATATAATATCCTACAATTACTTAAAGAAATCAAACTGTATTCCAAAATATAACTTCAACAAATCTACAACAGCAAACACATATCACTACCTCTTTGTCCACACAAACATGTATATGCACAAAAGCTGAGTATCATTTACCATATATTCAATTGTGAAAGCAGAATGACGTATATCATATTTTTATTACTCCTAAGAAAATTAAATTTCAGCATTAAATGATCCATAAGCAGTTGATATGCCATTAAACAATCAAATCAAATGAAAATTCCGGATAATTGAATGCCTAAATTATCAAAAATAGCTTGAACGAAAGTTATTTTCCTGAAAGAAATTTAACATTTCTATCATCAAATAATGTCTTCAGTTGCTTTGTTCAAGGTTTTGTCCAGTTTTTTTTTTTATGAAAAATGCATCAGTTTTTGTCTGTTTCTGTCTGGCTATTGTGATATTGTGTAATTTGAAAATCAGATGTAAAATGTGCAATGCAGCCATAGTTAACTCATACTAACAGGTGTTAAATGACTTTGCTATTCATTGGGCAAACAAAAAGACATTTCACTGCCTATTTCAAGCATGGTTCACAGATGTCATGAGAGAGTTGTGTTAGCGTGACCGAGCTATGATAATTTAAATGCCGTTTCTTTGTACAGAAATTAACTGGAATTGAATTGAATTTATCAGCGTTTTTATCAAACATTGAATACGGTTTTTCTAAATTCTCAAAATGCTTGAAATATTAGGATGGGTTAACTCCAGATAATTGAAAAATGTTTAGATAGTATCAGATTTTCTTTTCATTACCATTGCTCCTGACCTGGCATCTCAGCTTCAGTCTCACCACCGTAATGTAGTTGCCCTGCACCTTTTCTATAAATACTTTCATGGTAATTGTTCAGATAAACTCTCCTTTATGGTACCTAGTCTCTATGATTTCAAGTGTAGTACACAAGTGGTAGCAAGGTCTCATCATTTTACAGTTGAAATGGCTGCTAGATGTAACCATCAGTTCTATGCTAACAGTTTCTTCTATCACATTTCTCACTTATAGAACTCTCTTTCAGCTTTCAAGTCAGGTTTGATTTTCAGAAATTTAAATGCAATGTCAATTGTTATCTTCTGTCTTCTTAATTCCTGTTCTTTTATTCTTCTCACTCTTTAATATTTTTTATATTTCTTCACACTCAAAAACTCCCTTCATGTTAGTGGATATATTGCCTTACTTGGGGTGAAATGATTAAAAAAAAATCTTTTCTAAATCTGTTTCTCTTTTGTGTTTGAGGTTAAATTCAAGATCTGTACAAATGAAAGCATCTAAAAATCATAATGTTTCTTTCATTGTTTTTTTGTTTGACTTTGTATGTTCCTTTTTTTTTTTCTTCTTCCTCACAGTGAATGTTTTTTTTGACTTCATATGTTCCTTTTTCTTTGTTTTTTGTTTCCTCCTCCACCCAGTGAATGTTTTTTTGACTCTGTATGTTCCTTTTGTTTTGTTTTTTTAAATCCTTTTTTGACTACACTTTCCCATTCCACAGAACTTGACAAGCCCTTACTAAAAGATCAGGTACAGGAGTGGAGGGAAGAAAAAGTGCCTCGCAAACAGAAGATCCACAGACTTCACATCTTACGAATGCGGCTTCTGTGTTTTGTCAACACCCTCAACTCGCACATTATGACACGAGTGAGCAATTGCTGATTTTCTTTGCACAATACAAGTCTCACAAAAACTTGTACATAATTTAGAATTTTATTTTTAAATAATTATTTAAATCCAAAATTAAGTAACTTAACAAGACATTGACATGTCGTTAATTTAAGCCTCCTCCTTTGTATTATTAGAATTGTTAATTAAATAACATTTTGGAAGTGAGTTGGGCCGAGAACTCTTCAGCATCCCCCTCACATTACAAGATTCACGTTCGATGTGTACATGAAATAAGTTTTAGAATAATTAAATTTTTTTTTATTTTATTGGTAAATAATTATATTCAACTGTAATATTTCATTTTCTTATTCCCATTCAAATGTTAATGAGACTGTAAATTCCTTCTTCTTTGCAGATTCTTACTTGTGGAGATTTAATGTCTGACATTCAATCTGCGATGAACTTGGATGAAGTAATCGCCTGCCATGATCAGTTTCTTGAACAAATTTTAGAGCGATGCTTCCTTGGCAAAAAGAACTCTGCACTGAGAGACTCGCTTAATCAAGTACTGAACATCACCCTACAGCTCAACACACACTGGAATCGTGGAATTGATGATATCAGGTGAGTCCCTTTACATTGACAGTCCTGGGTATGATGATAAACTTACATCCGACAGTAAGGCATCTGATTGGGATGTTTTGAGGAGCATGGAACCACCTCTTAATTGCTGTTGTTTCCATGTCTACCCTGACCCAGGGTGGTAGCACCTGTTAGGGTCCCAACTATGGGCAAATAGTGAACCCCCAAACTTGAGTCAAAACACTAAGAAAATATAAAAATATATTCTTATAGTAAAAAATTCCAGCAATAGATTTTAAAAGTTAAAAAAAAAAATTACCAAGGAAATTAAATTTCAACATTAAATGACCTATAAGGATTTGATATACCATTAATCAAACCAAACTTTTACATTGATACTTACAGCCACAGCTTGTTGAAACACCAGTCCCTGTATGATTGCCACAGTTAAGCAATGTCAAGCCTGGTCAGTACTTAGATGGGTAACCACTTGAGAACACCAGGTGTGGGTGGTGCAATGAATAATGGCTTTGAGTTGTTAATCAGTGAGCAGTTTTCCAATTCTTTATGTGTTTGTTATATTCATTTACGTGTAAATCCCCATGGGAAAAATATGAATCCACCTCTTTTCTCCACAGAGTTAATTAGTAAGATTTGTATCACTAAAACCATTATTATCTCAAAAAAAAAAAAAATTTCTACAAAATATTTAAATTTTAGCATTAAATAACCCATGGAGATTGATATGCCACTAAACAAAAAAAAAAAAACAATCAATCAACCACCTTTGAATTAAATCATTAGCCAGGACGGCTGTGTTCAGTACTGAGACTTCACTGAAACAGTGGTTCTATTTTTGTTTTATTTAAATTGTTTACTTACTCTTATTTATTTACATGTGGTCTGTTGTTCTCATCACATTTCAGCCATTGTGCGCACTCTGGTCTACGTCAGGTGCTTGTCAATCCAGGTAACCTTCAAGGAATATTGAACTGCTCTTTATTTAATCTATAAGGGTTGATTGTTCTCATTTCACTAAGTCCAGTTTTCACTCCTCCCCAGTCTTTTGAACAGGAGTAGAGGTTTATCCCTTGTCTCCTTTTTAGGATGCGGTTTCTGGTTCCTTCTAAAGCCTTTTCTTTCTCTTTCGTTTCTGGTGACCCCTTGCTTCTTGGTGGTATTATCACCTTGCTTGGGTGGTGCCTCTTACTCTGTAATTTTCTACCTCGAGTGACTCTTAGGCCTTGTACAGGGTGAAGATCATTATAACAAAAAAAATATGTTGAGAGATATCTCGTCTAGTTTTAGCACTGTTCAGTTATTGCCCCATTCTTACTGATTTCAAGTACACATTGCCCAGTCCAAGGACTGAGATCAGAATTACTACGTCCTGGGTAAGACAATAAACTACATCTGCATCCTGGGTAAGATGATAAATTACGTTCAACGGCAAGGCCTCTGATCAGGAGGTTTTGAGGAGTTTGCTTCTGCTTTTGTTGCTCTGGTTTGTTTTGCAGCATATCAACATATCAACCTAACAGGTGCTACCATGCCATGTCACGGGTGGTAGCACCTGTTAGAGTCCCAACTATGGGCAAATAGTTAACCCCCAAACTGGGGTTAAAACACTATGAAAGTGTAAAAATAGGTTTTAATACCAGAAATATTTAAATTTTTTTAAAAAAAATATTACCAGCAATACATTTTTGAAAAAAAAGAATATTTCCAGCAATACTTTTTGGAAAAAAAATATTACCAGAAATAGATTTTTGAAGGAAAAAAATATTACCAGCAATAAAAATTTCATTGGTATTACATAACCCGTTGAGCTAAAAACAACCAAACCGATCAGAATTGCTCTGTCTCCAAATTCACAAACCAACATTTTTATCCACTAGGCTAAAGATCATAATGGCCGAAATGTTATGATAATAACACAAATGAGGACAATAATCTACATATAAATAATGTAAATAATTCCAGAAATTCAGGTAGAAATTCCTCTGATGTCTTTGATTATTTGATTATTATCAATACCCCCAGCATCCTTTTTCTCTTATGAAAAATTATCAAACAAACTCGGAGACCTTTATGTCTGCAAAAAAAAATGGAGCGTCAAAAGGATGTTTTTTTTTCCCTAGACACAGCTATTATTTTAACTACCTTCACTCATCAGCAATATTTATTGTTTTTAAAAAGTAATGATTAGAATTGTAATAGAACCTAAAGATATGATGAAAGTGAATTTATACATTTCTTTGTTCTTGACATTGTAGTGAGACCCTGATAAGAAAAAATATATAAACAAAAATAAAAAGAATTAAAATTAAAATAAGGCATTTGTTCTTTCCTTTAAAATCCTTATCTCTTTCTCTCTCTCTCTAAGTTTCTCTTTCTATCCTTCTCTCTCAATTAACAGGAAAGCAATCCTCAAATAAAAAGAGGAAGAAGAAGAAAAGACTGAACCTGGTCAAAAAACTTTGCAGGAACTTACTTATTTGTGACTGAAAAATACTAAAAATCAAAGAGGCTCTGCATATAACTTCCATTATAAAAAAAAATGAAAAAGATGGAATGCTGGAAAATAAAATCATTTTGGCCAATCAAAAAATTAACACAAAGAGACTTTTGATGTTAGCCAAAACCAATGTTCGAGCCAGAGTCTCAGAGGCTGGTCAAAACAGATATAAGCTGACACTCTAATCACTGGTCATATTCCATTTTTCATTTCTGTAAAATAATAAGCTGGGGATTTGAATGGGGATGGTTCAAAATAAGCAGGAAGTTGGAATAAGCAAGGGTGTTGTAAAATTTTAAAAATCTAATAAACAGGGTGGGTAATAGAATAAGTGTGGAGGTGGACATTTTTTTTTAAATCTAATAAGCCAGGGTTGTGAGTGGAGTATGTGGGGATGTTGGGAATTTTTTGAAAATCTAATAAGCAGGTAGATTGGAATAAATGGGTGGGAGGATTGGAAAAATCTGGATAGGCTTATTCTCAAATTTAGTTTATTTGAATCAAGGAATGGTATGTAAATATGCAGTGAATTATTTAAAAAGAGAGCAATTTTCTTGACTATCAAAATCTTTATCACATATAAATATAAACCTTACAACGTGTGTTTCTAATGTCTGCCATTTGTTATTCTTTTCTTCATGGATTGTTAGTCATTGTTCTTAGCTGTACTCAAGTTGGAGGAAAAAGAGCAAATTGATTTCATAAGATATCCTTGTTTTAGTGTGTCCAGAAAACATTCTTTTAGCTTAGCATCCCAATATGTTTTAGCTTTTAGTAGCTCCTATCGCTTGTCATATTTCACTTTTCATTTCTGTACAACAGCTGCATGGACATGCTTTTGTTTTGTAGAATATTACTTACTAATTAAGAGCAACCTCCTAAAGTACTTTTTCTCAGCTGTATCCTTTTAAATTATTTTTTAAATTATAAGGAAAGACAAAATATTATTTTGATTTGCTATGCTTCAAAGGAATTTTGAGAGATGTATGAATTGCAATTTGAATGAAGTTTGGCAATCTGCATCAAGTCATTTCCACAATTTTAAATGAACAGTTTCTTAGACTTGAAGCTCTTGGAAGGTCCCTCGAGACTAAATAAGCTAAAAATAAATGATGATTGTAATGAATGTGGTAGTATTAATACTCTTTTAATACGAAACACATGTTAGCATTATAGTAATATGGTTATAAAAAGATGTCTTTTTTTTTTCTTTTCTTTTTTTTTTTATTTCTTTCTCTGCTCTTTTTGACTTGCAGCCTTGAAACTTTAAGTCGTATGGAAGAACACTTCAAAAAATGGATCCCCTTTCTTCGGTGGTGTTTTGACACTAAAATAGCAGCTGGTCAGTACCCGCACTGTAAGTACCTGAAATGTGAGAGATATTCTCTTATTTTTTGTGTTTTGCCTTCGGCTTTCTTGAGGCAGATGGAAAACAAAGGCTCCCAACATGGTACTTCTTGATGATTTATACATGCATATGTCATAATTTAACTGTTTTTGAATTACTCACTGTGAACTTCTTCTTGTGCCATGTCCTTTCAAGACATAGGCAATCATGTCTCTCCACAATTTTCTGTCTTTTATAGTACTTAATAAATGTTGTCTTTCTGTTATTTCTTCTAAATCTTGTTCCACCATCCATATACTCAATTTCACTAAGTATGTTATGTTGTTGTTGTTGTTGTTCTTCTCCTCCTCCTCCTCCATATACTCAATTTCACTAAGTATGTTATGTGTTGTTTTTCACTGTCTCATTTGCCTTCAATCTGTTCTGTGAGTATCAGATGTCCCAAGCCCTTTTTTCCTTTTGTATCCCAGAAATTTCAGTTGTCTCCTCCCAATGTTAAGTATCCTTTCTGTTTCCATTTCCTCTAAAACTTTCTTGTTGTTTATATATTCGGCCCATGGTATCCTCACCATTCTTCTGTAGAATCACATTTCTGTTGCTTCAAGTTTCTTCTTCATCTTTGAGGAGATTGCCCAGCATTCGCTGCCATATAGGAGGGCAGATATCACGTAATGGTTCAGTAGTTTTTTCTTTGTTTCTAATGAAGTTTTTTTCTGTTTCTTAATACTCTGCTTAGCTTTTGGAAGGCATCTTTGGCTTTCCTTTCTTCTCACTTTCCTTCACTACCTTCTGTAGTTTCCTTTCTGTATCTGCTATCATCACTGTGTCATCTGCATATCTTACATTGTTAAGATTGTGGACACCAATAATGAATCCTGGTAGGACTTCTAATTCTCTCAAAATTGCCTCGCTGTATAGGTTGAATAAGTCTAGTGAGAAGACACATCCTTGCCTTAATGCCCCTTTCTATTTTTGTATATATGCTGAACTCATTTTCTATCCATATGCAGGATGTTTGCTGTCAAAGTTCTTGATTATTCTAATCTTAAAATAAAAACAATACTTACTAATTGTACAGAACAGTTAGCAATCTAGAGCATTACAGTGATGAACATAGGGTTTACTGAGTGACCGACTTTAATGACCTTGTTCCAGACTAGATTGAATTCACTATAACTACCATTACATCTACAGTCAAACTGCATTTTAATTATGCTATAAACATGCATTAAATTCCCTGAAGAAAGGGATTGTCAGTGGTCAGGAAATAAAACGAGCTACAAATACAATTGGTCTATTATATGTATAATAATTACATGCAACATATGAACTAAGCTGTGCTTTATTTAACTTTGTTGAAAACCACAATTTAGTGTCATTATGATTTGATAATTTGGATTTGTTACATGAGATTAGTTCATTTGTTGAACAAAACTACAAGGTTGAATTATTTGATTCAGTTCTCATTTTTATAAGTCCACTGCTGTTATTTTCATTAAATAACATTTCTTTATTAGTATGAATCTAATTTTCAGAGGAAAGATATTAGTACTTAAAGACCTCTCTATATTTTCATTTCCCCTGTGCTTTGTTGTCATGACTTAGAATGTCCCGACTGCATCTCTTACAGAGGGGTAAAACCTCCTGTGGGCGGATAGTTGCAAAATGGTCATATTTTTTTTTCTTTTAATGCAAATTTTATCTATGTCTATCTTTTCTGTCTTTTGAATCCAATGCAAACTAGACTTGTCTACTTTTTTTTTTATCTCCAGTGTAAACTGGACATGTCTGCCTTTTCGCCTCCCTTGTAAACTGAACATGTATGTACCTTTTGTCTCTAGTCCAAACTGAGCCTATGCCTGCCTTTATTGCCTCCTTTGTAAACTGAACATATATGTACCTTTTGTCTCTAGTCCAAACTGAGCCTATGCCTGCCTTTATTGCCTCCTTTGTAAACTGAACATATATGTACCTTTTGTCTCTAGTCCAAACTGGACCTATGCCTGCCTTTATTGCCTCCCTTGTAAACTGAACATATATGTACCTTTTGTCTCTAGTCCAAACTGGACCTATGCCTGCCTTTATTGCCTCCCTTGTAAACTGAACATATATGTACCTTTTGTCTCTAGTCCAAACTGGACCTATGCCTGCCTTTATTGCCTCCTTTGTAAACTGAACATATATGTACCTTTTTTGTCTCTAGTCCAAACTGGACCTATGCCTGCCTTTATTGCCTCCCTTGTAAACTGAACATATATGTACCTTTTGTCTCTAGTCCAAACTGAGCCTATGCCTGCCTTAATGGTCTCCTTTGTAAACTGAACATATATGTACCTTTTGTCTCTAGTCCAAACTGAGCCTATGCCTGCCTTAATGGTCTCCTTTGTAAACTGAACATATATGTACCTTTTGTCTCTAGTCCAAACTGGACCTATGCCTGCCTTTATTGCCTCCCTTGTAAACTGAACATATATGTACCTTTTGTCTCTAGTCCAAACTGGACCTATGCCTGCCTTTATTGCCTCCTTTGTAAACTGAACATATATGTACCTTTTGTCTCTAGTCCAAACTGGACCTATGCCTGCCTTTATTGCCTCCTTTGTAAACTGAACATATATGTACCTTTTGTCTCTAGTCCAAACTGAGCCTATGCCTGCCTTAATGGTCTCCTTTGTAAACTGAACATATATGTACCTTTTGTCTCTAGTCCAAACTGGACCTATGCCTGCCTTTATTGCCTCCTTTGTAAACTGAACATATATGTACCTTTTGTCTCTAGTCCAAACTGAGCCTATGCCTGCCTTAATGGTCTCCTTTGTAAACTGAACATATATGTACCTTTTGTCTCTAGTCCAAACTGGACCCTATGCCTGCCTTTTATTGCCTCCTTTGTAAACTGAACATATATGTACCTTTTGTCTCTAGTCCAAACTGGACCTATGCCTGCCTTTATTGCCTCCCTTGTAAACTGAACATATATGTACCTTTTGTCTCTAGTCCAAACTGGACCTATGCCTGCCTTTATTGCCTCCTTTGTAAACTGAACATATATGTACCTTTTTTGTCTCTAGTCCAAACTGGACCTATGCCTGCCTTTTTTTATTGCCTCCTTTGTAAACTGAACATATATGTACCTTTTTGTCTCTAGTCCAAACTGAGCCTATGCCTGCCTTTAATGGTCTCCTTTGTAAACTGAACATATATGTACCTTTTGTCTCTAGTCCAAACTGGACCTATGCCTGCCTTTATTGCCTCCTTTGTAAACTGAACATATATGTACCTTTTGTCTCTAGTCCAAACTGGACCTATGCCTGCCTTTATTGCCTCCTTTGTAAACTGAACATATATGTACCTTTTGTCTCTAGTCCAAACTGGACCTATGCCTGCCATTTTGCTTCTAGTGCAAACCAGTCATCTGTCAATGTTTTTGACAATTCATTGTGATTTTTGTCCTGTGAGTTTTATATTCAGCATTAAATAACCCAACACTGCCTAACGTAACCATTTCCATCTTATCACTGTCACAAAGGAAACTGAACTGATTTTCTCTCAAATAATCTGCATAATCTTTTATATCATTTCAATCATTTTTTTCCCTTCCTTTATAATGTTGTATGTATAAGCAAAACCTTAAGGGAACAAGGCTTGTCTGTATATAAATTCTGTACTGGAGCAAACATCTGGTTTCAAACCAGGATCTTGTAAGTTCATGACCGATACTGCAGTGAACAGAGAGAAGAAGAAGAAGAAGAATTTGCTGATGCCCCATAACACATTTGTTGATTCTTGCAGCAGTTTTTGATTCAATACTTTCAATATTCTCACCATTCAACATCCTGCCTCTATGATTCCTCTCTCAATCACTATCAAGAACTTTCTGACTCTATTTGATTATCCCCCTACCCACATGCATTTAATCTTACAATATTGTGGAATTAGACTCAGTGTAAATTTAGGTAGTCTACTGTGCCTGAATAAACATTAGCCAACCAGATATACATCAAGTTAGCATATAAGGCCCGGAGATAATTTTACGCCATTATTTGTCCGAAAAAAAAAACAGTGTTTTATCTTATAAGGCATTCTACTTCACTTTTGAACCATCCCTGCTTTGTATAGACATGGCGGTGTGCGGTTCTAATGCACACTCTCAGCTGCATTGTCTTAGCAAGAAAATCCTAGTCTGTGTCTTACAACCTCCAAGGTAATGCTGTACACGTGTGCATTACCAGTCACCATCGTTATCAACCATACAGACACACATTTTCCTGACTTCCAGAAAACAGGTCGAGTAATGTAAAGAAGTTAAACAAGTGGACGTTATACGCACACCCAGTTGATGAATTGTTGAAGCATTTTATAAAATCTGACAACTGAGATTTTTTTTTGTTTATATTTTTTCATATTTTTTTCTCTTCATAGTGTCCTATGAGATTTAAATTTCTGCTTGGTGTTTGCTTTCTATTGTTTTCCTTGTATAAATTTTTATTAATACATTTAGAGGAGAAGGGTAATGACCACTACTTTGCACCAACAGACATCAGTATTTGTGAGTGTGTAGCATTCATTGTTTTTTTTTTTGTTTTTTTAATGACTTTTCCCTGTCAGAATGTAGGCAATCATGGCTCTCCTATTGGGAAAGATTGTGGAGTGGTTTCCTGTTGCCTTCACTTTGGTTTTGAATCCTGAGTTTTCCTTCTATTTGGTTGCTAATCAAGGGCTAGAGAGCCCAGTCTACCCTTCTATTTAACCCATAATGAGGCTGAGAGGAAGAAAAGATTGGATCCATGCCTTTTACAATGGGAATTAATATGAAATCAACACAATATACCAGACTTGAATTTGAACTCAGTTCATTGATTCTACTTTTTGCACTACTACAATCTGTTTAGTATATATACTATTTTTATACTAATTTTCACTCTTTACAAGGTTCAAGAGCCACTCAAGGTAGAGAGTTACTGAAGGTAGTGGTTGTGTTAACAGTAAGAGTAAGGGGTACTGTTTAT